CGGCTCTATGATGGAGCGGTGTGAACATATCTGTAAGTGTTGATCAGTCGTGATCTTCCAATGGCAGTCTTCCAACGACTATAAGAATAGAGAAAGAAGGGAGAGAAGTAATCAACCAGTTGTGTGAGAGAGGGATGAAGAAGAGAGAGAAAGAAAATGTTAGGGTTTGGATTAAATTTGATAGGTTGGATGGAATTAGGTGAGGTGAATATTTTATGCTATTAATAATAATAATTGAATTATTATCTGATTTATGAATAAGTAAACTTTATATCTCATTTTTGAATTACAATCTTTAAAAATATGTCTCGGTGTGATTTCCACTAATATTTAATTAAGAGTAAATTTCATGTGAAATTGGATTATAAAGTGTTTGCTACTTTTTGTTCTAAAAGTAACATAATCTTGGACGAGATAAGTATCATGTAACAGCACATTTGGGAATGAAATATGGTCCAAATTCGTCTAGAAAAATAGCCGTTGCTTGGCATGTGATTACCGAGTTACAGCAACGAGGAGGTTCGCAAGGTCATTTTAATCCATTGAACTTTTGTATATTTTATAGTTAAAATCTTATATAATTGACATGATATGTCACTTTTGTTTCCAAAGTGACATATTGATATAATTTTTATTTCAAACGTAAAAGTGACGTATATAAGTTTATAATATTTATTCTATTATATAGTAGCCAAAAAAAAAAAAAGGAAAGGCAATCCAAATAAAAAAAAAAAAAAAAAAAAAACCCACCCCAAAAAAAAAAAAAAAAAAAGATATGGTCACTTTTAAGGGCAGAACCGCAGAAGATGTAAAATTGTAAATACCTCAGTTCATTCAAACCCTACCTCACCTTCCATCCCCCTTTTTCTCTCGCTCTCAAGTCTCTCTAAAAAAAAAAAAAAAGTCTCTCAGTCACTCACCGGCGCCGCCCCTCCTATTTTCTCTTGCCGACGTCATCCACTGATAGTCCACAGTCGGTTCGCACATGGCTGTTTCTTTTCTTCAGCAACCATCCTATTTCACCTTCAATAATCACCGGCGGTTGATTAGTTACTTTCTTCCCCCTCTTATTCTTTTTTCTTTTCTTAATATGAGCTAGATTGGCGATTGATTAGTTACTTTCTTGCAGATATTATGGAAAAAAATTGCAGCAAAAGCCAATTAATCTGTCTAGTACAGAAATGGCGAAACAGACCCATAGAATCTCCAATTGATACTTTGGCTGCAGATGAAGAGGCCTCTGCTCATGTGTCATTCCCACTCTTTCAACCCTCCTCCTTTCCCCCAACACACTCGTGCTTCCAAGGTATCACTCTGTGTCAACTATAATTTTGTCATTTTACCTTATTTTGGTGATGAATATTGTATGCAATTTGATTCTGTATTTTGGTGCCTTATCCTATCCGAGTTTGAGCTACTTTATGTGAATTCCTGAGTTCTTGACTTTACAAGGTTTTTTTATGTTCCGTGAATCATGATTGCATTTTTACCGTTATTCTTTTCTTTATTTTGTTGATAAGTTGGATGAATAAAAGTTTGCAGCGTTAATCTGAGCTTGGAAATTGGAATGTTATCTGTTTGTATGGAAGTATTTGTATTACATTATCTTCTGTTGTCTTTATGTGAATGAGAATCTTTATGTTTTTGAACAAATTCTTTTTATGTTATAGAATAATCTTATTTAAAGCAGTTTTAGCAGCTCTTCTTCACGTAGTTTTTGAGGTTACATTAGAAAATAAGCGGTCAATATTGTGTTATGTGGATGGACCTTGAATAGCTTGTTATTGACTGTCTTCATTTTGGATGGTAAACAAAATGTTAACCATAAACCAAACAACCCAACCCAACCCGACCGAACTTGATTGGGTTGGGTTTGGGTTGAGTAAAAACCCGACCAACCCAACCCACGCCCAACCCTAATCACAAGGATTTGTGATTTTCATATACAAATTACATATGATTGAATCTTAAATCATTCATAGTTGTAAGTAACAACGAGATACATATATTGTTATTACCGATAGATTATCACGTGTAACATTTCTTACTTGTGAATTAAGTAGTTGATCTCACAAGCTAAAATGTGGTATCACCTAAATAAACACGTGGATATTTTATTATAAAACAAAATATTGGAGACCCGTTGGGAAGATTTCACATGGATAACTATCTGAGTGTTAGAAGTTAATCTCGAACATTCGGTAGTTTAATTGATAATTCGACTTGAGGTCATCATAGTAACTTATATGAGGACGGTCATACTTTGGTGATATTGGATGTTGTTCTGCCAAGGTTGCTAATAAGACATCGTTTGGATATGTTAATAATCATATGAAGGTTATGAATTATCAATAGAGGATTCATCACTCTTAGATAATAAAAGATTATGATCTACATTTTATTTAGCTAAGTTGATAACGAAATCATTGGCCAATGTGTACTCATAAGTCCAAAAATAGTTTTCGACTTACATTTACTCAATAGTGGGATGAAAAATATGATCGATAATTGAGATTGACACATATCCATATCTTGTAATTGATCGGATCATATTGATGAAAGAATTATAGTTTCACGGTAAACGAAAAAATTTGCTTTGTCATACTATGTGACATTTTTCGTCACATGTATTGCCTTAACACATTGTTAGATGTTAATTTGAGACTACAAATTTGAATTGATGATAAATTAAAATGGGCCATTTTAATTTATCGATTTTGATTAGATCAAAATAATAAGTCATGTCGTTAGGTATCGTGATCGAGAACCCAATGGGTCACACAGAAAAAAGAGAACTAGAAAAATGAAATTTATCAATTAATTAATTAACAAGTGTTAGACAATTAATTAATTGAGTTGTTTGATAGACCCAAATTAATTAATTGAATCAATTAATTCATGGGCTAAATTTCAATTTAAGAGACGAGTCAGCCCATTTGAACTTATATTAATAAACTATTAGAACAAAACACAATTATTATCTTGCTAGTTCAAGAAAAGAGAAATCTCAATTTTCTCATTCTTGTTCTCTGCATGAATTTTCATTAGAGACGGATAATTGTACAGCTGTGGTTTGCAGATCGTGATTGTTCGTGTTCAATTTAAGTAAAGAAGTTTGCAAAAATAAATAAGGTAAATTTTCTATCATAGTTTCTATCTAAACACAAAGTAAATTTTTGGTAGGAATTGAAATTGTTTTTATGTTTCATTGGGCATGATTAAGAAATTATTAACACGTTCCAAATTCGTACACAAAATTTCAATTTGGTGAATACTAACTGGCCCAACGATTCAAATCTAATGTTCCGTTTGATTGATTTAAATTCCATGAAAAATGTCACATTCGAGAAATTTAATTTCTACGTTGACCGTTTGATACGAAAGTAAAAATGGAGATCGAATTCCAAGGTACAACCACTTTATACTTATATTTTGCCAATTTCATGAAAAATGCATTCATATGGGATACTTGAATTTTTATTTTTTAACATACATAGAATTAAAAAGTTTCCATATTTGTTAATCAAACGGACCCTAAATAACTTTATATGGAGATTTACTTTTAACTATTTATCTAGTAAAATTGGCTGACATGTCCGTTAAAAAACTAAAATACAAATGTGTCCATCCCTGTTGGCAAAATTAAGACCACCAGAGGTTACTGAACATTCACTCTACTTGTAATTGGGACAGTAAACTTCAATTTGAAGCAACCAAGTCACTGAACCTCAATTGCTTTTCTTTCCTTGGTGTGCACTTTTATAGACTCCATTCTCCTTACGCCTCGCCTCCAATTTCTTTATTGAATATCTCTACTATGTTTGATAATAGAGCTAATTTCACAATCGGTCACCCAAGTTTGTGGGAAATCTCAAGTTGGTCCTCAAAGTATTTTCTGGCTCATTTAATCACTTAAAGTTACACGACTCATAATGTGCATTATTGCTCATCGGTTGATGTTTGTGCTAAAGATGAATGTTTAATCTGAAATCTTCCACATTATCCATGCCGACGATGCTATGATGTATGGGATTTCATATAAGTTCTTTTGCATGTGGTAAAGAGTAGTTTTATTGCATTGTATTTAATGGAACTATAAATGTTATTTAGGGTATGTTTGTTTTTCATTCTCAAATTCTACAGTAAATCAATTCTCATTTTCAATCACACCTTTTTGAATAAAATAATATTTTTCATCACATCAATAATATTTTCTTCTTTTTCAACCATACATTTCCCATCATATCAATATTCAAAAATCAATTCTTCCCTAAAAAATTCTTACCAAACAAGTACTTAATGATTTTTATGTAAATTGGAAAGTCTTCATAAGGTACGATGAATGGACAAACTATTCGAGCACAACAGGTGAATATTCGAAACAATATTTTTTCAAAACAAATGGCCACCAAACATGGACATAATTTGTTGAAAACTATAATGACCTAAAAAGGTTTTAAAAAAACAAATGGGTAGAAAATATGATTGGTCAAATAGCATTTTGCGAAGTGCAGCTACAAAAAAAGCAACAGAAGCAAAAGTATAAATCCTGTCAAATGAACCATTAGTATTGCCATTTCGACCTTTGTCGATGATGTCAAGTAACCTTGTTGACTCACTTTCGTAATAGATTGAGCTATTGGAGTTGTGGGTTTGCAACAAAATGACCCAATAAAGCGAAAAAATTAACAAGTATTCATAGCATATATAAATAGAAAACAAATATTAATTTCGAAATTACCAAGAGGTCCAAGACGGTTTAACTAGTAATTCAATAAAAGAACGATCCATTAAACTAAAATAAATAAATAAATAAATTTAAACATTTGTTCTAAGATTATGTCCAATATCCTAGCCAATTTATCAAGAAGACCCCAACTTAACATTTCCTTTTCCCAATTTTCCTTCACTATATTCCATCCAACTACCTAAAACTTACAAAATTTAAAAAAAAAAAACCCCGTTTTTCGTCCGACTTTTACAATTTTTTTCTCGACTTTTCATGTCGACTCCACGACAAATTGACCACCCTCCACAGCCGTGCTCTCCTGCATTGCATGTTGCGTATGCCTGTGCTCCCCTTCATAAGTGACGATCAACATCGATGGATCGTCGGTAGCCCTCTCCACGTGCTTTCTTGCGGGGCATCCCCTCATGGTACTGCACTTGTAGTAACCCCTGAACAACAAAGAAAGAATACATCAATCACATGAAATGGGTATTCAAAATCATCGTCGTCATACGATAAGATTGATGGTGCGTAAAAATTACCGTGGGTATGGCGAGCCCTTGATCGGCTTTTGACCATACTTTCTCCACGAGAACTCATCCGCTGGAATATCCGCAATTTTTGAGCTAATGGCTGGGACTCTAATTGTCCTCTTCACCTTAGATTTCCTGCAAAATTAATACATAATTAATGAATTTTCAATGTAACGATGATAGTAAGTCGTAACAAGTAATTAAATTACGGTTGTTACAATCGTCGCAACTTGATAGGTGAACACTACCTAAGTTCGTATTTTATTTTTAGACCGAAAAATGAAATTTTATTTTTATAACGATTTCAATATTTCTTAACGTGCGCATAAGGACGGGCCTAATTCTAATGTGAGCCGGATTCGTCCAGCGCATGGTCCAATCAATAAAGAAAAAGAAAGACTAATGAGTCAACGATTTTACACCAACACCTCTAACGTGCGCTACAGTCGACATAGAAACACTATCAAACAACGTAGCTGTCACGCATGCTTTTGGTCACAGGCAAATGTCGTTATCACGGCGACTTAGGATGCTATTGCGTGCCGGTGGGTAGACTTCTTTTGGTTTTTTCTAGGTTAGACCACGACTTTCTTTTTCATAATAATAAATAATAATAATTAATAAAAGAAAGTCAACAAAATCGGATTTTAGCATGAAAAATATAGTCGGTTTAAAATTCAGGAATTAAATATTTTTTTATTAATTGCCTAAAATACGCACCTCTTCTTGCAGTGACACCGGCCGGAGACGTTATCTGACCGGGTGTGCTCCCGGCACCTCTTCCCGGAGAGTGGAGGCTTTCCAGCGGAAATAGAGGGGCCTGCCGGAACCAAAACCGCAGATGACGGCCCACCTTTGCCGTTTGACACGCTTCCGTCGCCGGTGATAGACGAAACAAACGTCGTCGACGAGTTTCCTGACGTTGACATCGCCGCCGATAAGCTGAAACCCTCCTTGCACATCACGTCGTTACTAATCTTCTTAACAGAAGGCGTGGAACCCACCACGCTTGTCTTCGTGAAATCACGGGTTAATGCTGGTTCCGGCACCACCGTAGCCGCCGGAGTTGCAGGGAAAAGATTGAGATTAAGATCCTGAGGCTGAGGTTTATAAAACCCAGAGACCAGAGGCATCTGACTAGACCCAGAAGAAAAATTACGATACTCAACAGAAGTGAACCGCTCCGGTGGCGGAGTATTAACCGGAGCACGGCGGAACCGGGCATGGCCAGATCGGTTTAGAATAGAAATAACCTTTTTAAAGTTAGAAACAGTAAAATCAGTGATTTCTGTACAGTCGATTTGCGGGTTTTGTCGTTCCTGATGAGAAACCAGCCGGATTAAATGGTCCATGGATTTCAACCCGGCTGTCGCCGCCTCCTGCAAAGCCACTTGCTCGTTCATGTTATCATACCCCATCATTTCCACCGCCCTTTTTCCTCCCTCCCCAAAAAAAAAAAGCTTCCTCAATCAAATTTCAAAATTTACTGAACCCGCATCACAAAATTAAAACCCAAAAACCAAATCAAGAACAAAAACTCAGTGAAAACGTATAGAAAATTATTATTGTGTTGGGGTGGGTTGCTGGAGATTGGAGAAGGAAGGAAGGGGTAGGGTATGGTATATAAAGAAGACGAGGGTGACCGGGAAGACTGGATGGGTTTAATCGGACGGTTGAGATTTGTTTGAAGACTTCAACGATTCACTATGAAACAAAATAGAGGCCTTTCGTCTGTTGAGTGGGGCCTAATTGTGGAAATATTAGGAATTGATATTTCCTGCAACCAATTCTATTCTTCCAGATCAATATACATTTTTAATGCATAGAGTACAAACGAAGTAGAAGTGAAATTGTAGGAATTGGGGGTGCGCGAGTAGAGAAAAATTGTGTGCCAAAATTGTAAATTAATGAATAGTAGAAAGATGAATTTCTCGTGAAGGTAAAAAGATAAAGCTTGCGAGATTATAGAGTTGGTGAGAAAAAGACAAATTGGGGATTATAGGAAATCCTTAGACTCCTACTTGTAACATTAATTAGCTTTGTAACGTACATTAATTATTGATTATGGCAATCTTATATGAGATTTTGTGTATAATAAAAATGGGTTATTGGCGCAAAACGTCCCTACTTATGACGGGTTGTGTGGAAAACGTCCCTACGTTTGATTTTTTGGTGCAGAACGTCCCTACCTATGCATTTTCTTGCGCAAAACGTCCTTTTCCCCAATTTTTAACTTAAAATGACCGATATACCCCAATTTAAATAAAACAAAAAGGAAAAGAAAAGAAAAATAAAAAATAAATTGCAATCTTACCCCTCAACTTTTTTAAAAATGTAAATGAATCCAAAACTTATGAAAATATTAAAAATAACCCACCAACATCCACTGTCCCCCTCTTCATTACCTTCCCCAGTCAAAACCACCGTCGGAGATGCCATCGCAAGTGCCGGAATATTCCAACTTCGGCAAAAAGAACTGTGGTTTCTCTCTTCATGATCAAAATCCAACAAAGCAACTACGCTTTGGAGTTATGATCAAAATCCCAAAGCTTTACAACGTGTTTCCCGCAAACCATTCCGACCCCGCAAACCATTCTGCTCCACTGAATCCCTGTAAAACCCCACCCACCAAATGCTTCGAGGTCTCAATCTCAGACGCTCCATCCACTCCCTCATCCGCCCCCTTAAACCTCCCGCCGCTACCTCCACCGGCGTCCAACGCCAATTATCCTCTCTCTTCCGCTAAGCCCCGCTTCCGCCTGACCTTCATGAAGCCCAACCGCGTACCTTCATCCAACCTAAAACCCTCAGAGAGCTTGAATCTATATTTAAAGATTGTAACCAAAATAAACAAAACATCCCAAACGTAATTCTCTTTGCTTCTGAAAATTGTTGCCAGGTAGTCCCAAATATCCAGCTGGGACAACAAAAATTGCAGATAGTTTGAAGAAGAAAACAGTATGAAATATAAAACATGAAAATCAAAATATTAAATATCTGAAATTGAATATCTAAAATTGAATAAAACCTCAAAAGGCTTGTTCTGAGAAGTAACTGTAAGGAGAAGATTGTTTACCAATTGCTCAATAATTGAACTCCATTATTGTATACCATTACCAAGAATTGCAGCAGGGTTGGGTAGAGACGGTGCTCGGTGCGTGATTAAATTTTTATGTTTAAAGAAAGAACAATGATGATTGGTTCAAAAAGAGGCATGTTTGCCTTCCCACCCATGCCTTTAATTGACCTCTCGGCCTTTAGTTGTGGCGGGGCGAAGTCGCCGACGAACGACGATGATGGTGGGCAGTTGGAGGGAGGAGATGGGTTCTAGAGAGAGAAAGGAGGGAATGAATTAGGTTTGTGATTGGGTGAAATTAAATTAGTTTGTTGGACTCATTTGTATTTTTAAAAAAGTCTAGAAGTAAGATTGTAATTTATTTTTTATTTTTCTTTTATTTTCTTTTTTGTTTTATTTAAATTGGGGGTATATCGGTCATTTTAAGTCAAAAATTGGGGAAAAGGACGTTTTGCGCAAGAAAATGCATAGATAGGGACGTTTTGCACCAAAAAATCAAACGTAGGGACGTTTTCCACACAACCCGTCATAGGTAGGGACGTTTTGCGCCAATAACCCAATAAAAAATAAGACTAATAGCTTTTCTTTTCTTTTTTTTTTTTTATAGCAAATTGATTTTTAATTTATTGAAAAAATTCAGAGTATAAAGTAGAGTTTTTTTTTTTTTTTTTTTTAAGTTATTGAAAAAACTAATCATGTAAAAAGGAAGCCACTCCACTAAAGTTGAGTGTTTGAAAATAGGGTAATTAGCACGTAACGTCTTCACCTTTCACTGTTATTGTGAAAAACGTTAATACTTATCATTTTTTGGTATTTTCACATTTCATTGTGCAAAATGTCATTTTTATCCATTTTCTCAATAAAAAATTGTAAAATGACAAATATACCATTCTCTTTAAATAAACCAAAAAGAAAAAAATAATTGCAATCATAGTCCCAATTAAAAAAAAAAGATCAAATGAGTCAAATAAATTATTAAAAGGGTAATTAGTCCATAATGTTAATACATTTTACTATTATTGTAAAAAACGTACATACTTTTTTTTTTGACATTTTCGCCCTTAATTACATATTTGATTACGCAAACCATCATTTTTATCAATTTTCATCTAATTTCTCAATAAAAAATTGTGAAATGACGAATATACCCTCATATTTAAATAAAATTGCTAAAAAATTAATTACAACTGTAGTCCCTTTTTTTAAAAGAAATACAAACGAGTCCTCGATAAATTATTAAAATTTTTTAATTTTTTTAAAAAAGTTCAAACGAGTTCCAATTAAATTTATTTAAAAAATAAAAAATGCAAACGAGTCCCAAATAAATTATTAGAGAATTGAAAATTAAAAAGAAATTATTTTATTATTTAAATTGGATGCCAAAAATTAGATGAAAATGATGGTTTGCTCAATCAAATGTATAATTAAGGGTGAATGCCAAAAAGTTGAAAAGTACGGACGTTTTTTGCAATAATAGTGAAATGTATGAACATTATATGCTAATTACCCTTTTAATAATTTATTTATAACTCATTTGCGCTTTTTAAAAAAAAATTAAGACTACAGTTGCAATTAGTTTTTTCTTTTTCTTTTCGTTTTATTTGAAAAGACGTGTGTATTCGTTATTTCATATTTTTTTAATTGAGAAAATAAATAAAAACGATATTTTGAGCAATGAAATGTGAAAATAAGAATGCAAATATCAAAAAATAAAAGGTATGAACGTTTTCTACAATAACAATAAAAGGTGGGAACGTTTTGTGCTAATTACCCTTAAAAATAAGGTAAGAATTAAAATTTAGATTTTAATTTAATTCAAGATTAATAATTAATTTTAATCACATCATGGGATCCAAAAATTTTCAACCACACATTTTATTAACTTTTGTCAAAATTTGCTGGATATCTGATTTTAATTCCAACCGGATAGGGACTTTAGTATCCAATGTTAAACCATAGTGGATAACGTAGAGAATGATTATGTTGTGTTATCTAATAGATTAACGTTATTTAGCACTAATATTGTTAGAGCACAAATTTATATGACATTATGTGATATGTTCAATTAAATGTAAAATTATGTGATTAATTTTATTGAACATTCCATTTAATGCCACTAATGCTATGAAATTTATAATTGTTCAAATCATCAAGCTCTCCAACATAATAACGATAGGAAGTTTATGACAACCATAAAACAAGATAAGTACGAGTTTTAACTTGAAACTTTTGTATTTCATTAATTAGTTATTAGCCCTAGTAGAATATTTTTTTAGGGTTGTAGCGAGTATGAAACGTGTCATTCATATCCACTCCCGTTATGTCGGGTATTTTTTTTTACCTTCCCCCGCCCCCATACTTGGTTAAAGTGGGACGGGACGGGACGGGATGGGAAGGGAATGGACAGGGCAGGGCTTATATCCCATTTATTATCCTATTTATTTTTTTATGTCTTTCAATTAGTAAATATTATTACCTTTTCTTCTAATTTGTCAAGAATAACTCATATTCTCTTTAAAAAAGATGATACATCTTTTATTTTCGTTTGATAAAAAACTTAAATTTGAAATTAATTTTAAACATGATAGATTGCGAGCGCGTGGACTATATTTCCAGTACCCGCTTCGGCGCCCCATTTACCCGATTAGACAGGTGGGGTGAGGCCATACTTATATAGGATTTAATGAATATTTTTGTCATCTCTAATCTTCTTCTTGTTTTAGAAGTATTTATAGGTGATAATTTTGTTGGATTGAATGGAAATTTGGAAAGAATTTATAAACTAAGTGCAAGCAACGTGCAATGCACGTTTGCTTAGTTTATATTTAATATTTTTGTTTAATAATTAATTTGTTATTAATAAAGATGTAATTTTTTTTGGTTAATTAAGGGCGTGTCTGGACGCGCTGTAAGGAGGAAGGAAAATTAATTATGTTATCGTTTTTTTTTAAACCTATAGCCCTACAGTGAGAGAATTGGTCCAAAATTGCGACCCCCAACTACATGAATTCTGTTGCCAACGGCTTGATTTCTGCTGAAAAACAGAAACAGACACCCTATAAATAATTAATGACGTAATGTTTATGTAATTGATAAATAATTAGATGTATGATTTTGATATTGTGATGTAGGTTGGTGAGATTGAAGAAAATAAGTAAAAGTAGACAAATTTGGAGAAATGGCTAAATTGTAAGGAATCCAAAGTTCGGGGGCTAAAATGTAAATACTTCAAAGTTTTGCCAAATCTCACGATAAAGATTTGAGAGTGTTCGGAGTCAATTGGATAAAGGAAGATGTTAAGTGGATCAAATTTAGTCAAAATATGATCACAAATCAATTTCCAACCGAAAAGTTATGCTCAGGTGTTTTAGTCTCATATTGAGACAAATTTTTGGCATAGGAATTGATCGAATTGGAGAATGATGTCTGAATTAAAGTTGTATCCAGATGCGTTATCTTTCCAACGCATTTTGCATTGCCTCAATAGGATATCGGAATAAAAAGTTATGATAAAAACACTGAAAGAAGGTGCAGCTGTCTGTTTAAAACAAGAAATTTCGTTACATAATCCATTATATTGAGACCTATTTTTGGCATATAAAGTGGTCGAATTGGAAAATGATGTCTGAACCAAAGTTGTAACCAAATGAGTTAGATTTTCAACGCATTTTGAATTACCTCAATCGGATATCGGAATACAAAGTTATAATAAAAATATTGAAAGAAGGTGCAACTGCTTATTTAAAATAAGAAATTTCGTTACATAATCTGTTATATTAAGACCTATTTTTGGCAGATAAAATGATCCAATTGGAGAATGATGTCTGAATTAAAGTTGTAGCTAGATGAGTTAGATTTTCAACACATTTTGAATCGCCTCAATCGGATATCTAAATACAAAGTTATGATAAAAACACTGAAAGAAGGTGCAGCTGCCTGTTTAAAACAAAAAATTCCGTTACATAGTCCGTTATATTGAGACATATTTTTGGCATAGAAAGTGATCGAATTGGAGAATGATGTNTTGGCATAGAAAGTAATCGAATTGGAGAATGATGTCTGAATCAAAGTTGTAGCCAGATGGGTTAGCTTTCCAACGCATTTTGAATTGCCTCAATCGAATATCGGAATACAAAGTTATGATAAAAATACTGAAGGAAGGTGCAGCTGCCTATTTAAAATAAGAAATTCCGTTACATAATCCGTTAAAATAACAAATTCCGTTAGTTTTTCCATTAAACCAACAAATTCCGTTAGATAGGCACTTTTTATATATAGAAAGATATTCATAAAATTAACGAAGGCTATGTCAACAATCATCTATCCAGCTCCTTCCTTGGTAATCTAGGATCGAAAAGTAGCAGGGTTGCAATTAGAAACGATTAGACGTGCAATGAAATAATTTGTTTGCTACCGTTTAGTTATAGTTACGTTTAAAATAATTTTTGGAGGAGAATGAAAAATTATTTAGATTATTGTTGTTTATAATTTTGACTGTATTTATTTAGCAGGGAAAATTTTTTGTCTTGCTAATGAACTAACATCAATGAGATAAATTCATTTTTTTTCAAACTTATTTTTAATCACATTTTTAAAATAAAATAAATTTTATTTAATAGCAAAATAATAAATAAACTAAAATAAACTAAAATAAATCAATTGCTATCCTGTTTGCCACACAGTAGCCAATTGCTATCCTGTTTGCCACACATTTTGAATAGCAAAATAATAAATAAACTAAAATAAATCAATTAACTGTTGTCAAACTTTGGGTTGAATATCTAAATCACCACT